TATATAAAAAAATAAAAACCTGCACATGTGGTGTTCAGAGCTGTCGGGGGTTCGTCCCTTCAGTCCGGAGCAGGAGCAGGAGTCCAGGATCATCGGGGGTCAGGAGGCCTGGGCTCACTCGTGGCCCTGGCAGGTGTCTCTTTGCTTCGCCTCCATGCCGGCCTGCGGAGGAGCCGTCATCGGCTCCATGTGGGTCGTCTCTGCCGCTCACTGCTTCAAGAGGTCAGAGGTCATCAGCAGCTGCACAGGTCCATTAAACCCACCCTGAGAATGACATGCGTCTTGTCTCACCTGTGTGCAGGTACAACAAAGCTTCCTTCTGGACGGTCCTGGCTGGAAAACACGACCTGGATAATCCTCACGAACCGGGACAACAGGTGAGACACACTAACACTCTGACGCATTGTCAGAGGATCAGCTCTGACTCCAGTCTTCACTTCCTGTCAGCTGGTTGGAGTCGCCATGATCATCAACCATCACGGCTACAACACTCGCACCAAAGAGAGAGACATGGCGCTGCTGAAGCTGCAGCAGCCGCTCGTCTTCAACCAGTTCGTCAGACCCATCAACATCTGGCTGACCCCACTGCCGCCCTTCAAGAAGTGCACCATCACCGGCTGGGGCTCCACCCGAGAGAGTGAGGACCTGTTCACACCCCTTTACACCAACATCAGACTGGTTTTGTCCCAGCTTCAAATAAAGTGGTTCAGAGCCTGAAAAGCTGCTCCCCAGGTGGCACCAAAAATTGTACGTTATAGTCTTTGGATAAAAACAAACATCTGTAATTTCAGGACAAAGTTCACAGGTAAATGACACCATCTTGGTACAGCGCTTTACTTACGTTGTACAACACCGTCTGTTGATGACACATCCTCGATTACAAAGATTCAGCTCAAAGCTGGTGGAAAGTCTAGCTGGTTTGTTCGATAGCACCAAGGTTCCAAGAATCCTGAACAGAAATGGTTCAAGAACCAAAGTACATGTGGTGGGTTAGGGTTCCACCAGTGCTTCTCAAAGTCAAGCATGTTTCCTTGGTAGGGTGGGTCCTTCCAAGTCAGACACTAGACAAGACTCCCTCCCAGCATTCAATGAACACACATTGGAACAGGCTAGCAAGTGCCCAGGTTATTAAAGAGGCTCCATTTCAATTCTGGCAAACTGTGCACAAAGAATTGTGGGTACTTTATGCCCAGTGAGGATACAAAACTGCATCCTTGAAAATTCTCTCAAAGAAAGACTCATCCATGGCAGAAATCGAAGGATCCTCGACATTGGAACAGACTTTCTGTGGGATTCGGCTGAATGTCTTCCTTGACATTCAGCTGTTAAAGGATCCATCCTGGACTTTGAGAAGCACCGTTTGTCTCAGTCTTTAGATCAAAACAAACATCTGTAGTAACAGATCAAAAGTCTACAGGTAAACAATGTGATCTGCCATCTTGGCACTACCGATTACCCCTGTTGTACAATGCCCTCTGTTGACGACACATCCTCAATTACAATGATTCAGGTAGGAACGTGGTTCTCTACATAGCACCAACCTTCAGAGAGTCCTGAACAGACCCAATTCAAGACCCAGAGCTGATCTGGTGGCAAAGGGTTTCAGACAGCATCTGAAGCTGGTCCAAAGTCTCTCCATGTTTCTTCTTCTTCTTCAGATGGAGCTCGAGTGAACAGACTGCAGGAGGTGAACGTCACCATCCTGCCCCTTGATGTCTGTAACCACTACTACCGCGGCAGGATGAGACCTTCCATGTTCTGTGCTGGGAGGGAAGAAGGAGGAGCTGATGCGTGCCAGGTACAACCTGAGGGACAGATCGTGTCCCATGACTGTCTCATGGTGTCTCTAACACGGTCCTGTCTGTGTCTCAGGGGGACTCTGGAGGTCCTCTGTCCTGCTTCACCGGCAGCAGGTACGAGCTGGCAGGTTTGGTGAGTTGGGGGATCGGCTGTGGACGAGCCAGGCGACCAGGAGTCTACGCCAGACTCCAGCTACAAATTCAGTGGATGTCTGACATCATGAGTATGTGTCACAGGTAACCAACACCTACCTGAGAGTTCACCTGAGACAGACGGGTCACATGATGTGTTTCATTCACAGGTGATCCAGGTATCATGTATGCTGATGAAATCACAGCTGAAGGTTGGTGTTGATTTAAACTCTGCAGACAGAATCCAGCGTCCAGCTTCATGATCTAACCCTCAGTGTGACTGTTTGTCCACCTGGACTACAGAGAACAGGTGTGGGAAGCAGCAGCAGAGGTCCAGCTGTCAGACACCTCCAGGCCTCGCTGTTCTCTCAGTGTCCCAGGACGGTGACGTGTCTGTGGGGAACTTAACAGAGTCTTGCCCCTTCTTCTGGCCCTGGCAGGTCAGCCTGCAATCCAACGGACGCCACTACTGCAGTGGAGCACTGATCCACCGCCGCTGGGTCCTCACCGCACAGCACTGCAGTGCCAGGTAAACCCACTACAACTACAGCTACGACTCCTACTGCTGCTATGACAGGCTCATTTATTCCCTCCTTTAATGCAAAAATAAATCTGTCAGTTTTAAACATTGTAAACATCTCCACTCTCATACTTCCATGTGCCCTTTATGATGTCATAGATGCAGCCAATAGATGGCACTATAGGGCGGAGTCAGAAGTTTCACAACAACAAACAAGGCAACGGTGGAGGAAGTCGTTATATTGTACCTATGAACAGAGGCCGTATGGTAGATGGCGGCGGTCTGTGAGGTCATTAAATACATATTTTCTCTACATTACCGAGTCGTTCTGTTCCACCATTTTCAAAATGTCTTCATCATCTTTGAATACGCTGCACTGCCTCCACGATCTCTGCTGGTTCTGCCCTGTTTCATCTGTATCTGAAATCTTCCAGAAAACGTGCACAAATATGGACAAAATGAACGCAGAGTTCGGACAGAAGGCTCCGCCCATCTCCGTCTCTGACATTGGTCACGAGTCCTACTTCTGCTGCTGTCCCTGCTGACTGTTCTTTGTCCCTGCAGAGCTAAAGAGGACGTGGTGGTTCTGGGAGCTCATGACCTCCGCTTCTCATCGTCTCAAACCGTCCCTGTGGACGAGGTCTTCAACCTGCCGCAGGATGGCAGCTTCCCCCCGAAATCTGACCTGTCGCTGCTCCGCCTCAGCGTGCCCGCCAGATTCAGTAGGAACACATGAAACATAAAGCACACCTACATTTTCCAGATTTCTGTAGTGTCACACCAGGTACTGTGTGAGGTGTGTCATGTGTTTTATAAAACACTGAAACTGTCTCCAGGCTCTGACGTGTCTCCAGTTTGTGTCCCTGATGAAGACGAGGAGCTCGATGACAGCTGGTCCTGTGTCACGACAGGCTGGGGAACCCCGAGAGCAACAGGTACTCTCCACACACAACAGGAAACACGATCAAAAGACTTAGTGAGATAAAACAGCTGAATCCTCGACAGAGACGATCAGACTGACGTCCTCTAACGTCGTCAGCGTCATGACACAAAGATAACGTTTGTTTCTCGTGTAGCGGACGTTGATCCGGAGCGGCTGCATCACGTCATGCTGACTCTGGTGAACCAGACGAGCTGCAGGGAGAAATGGGGAGGAGGACTCATCACTGACTCCCACATCTGTACACATCCTGCAGGCTCCGCCTCCTGCATGGTAGCTCCGCCCACACCCTGTCAGACCGTTGATCACATGTTCAGAGTCCATGACAACACAAAAGGTGTCATCAATAGAGTCGAGTATTCAGATTCAGATGTTTGGTTTCTGTCTGCAGGGCGACTCTGGAGCTCCGCTGCTGTGTCGGAAACGTGGTGCCTACTTCCTGTTTGGCGTGGTGACGTGGGGCAGCAGGCGGTGTGATGCAGACAAACCGGCCATCTTCTCCAGAGTATCTGATTACCACTCGTGGATTACTGAGCTGACTGAAGACATCTGAACGTTTGTGTTGGAGAATAAACTCTTTTAACTGGAAGCTGTTTGTCATCTTTAAACTGACGGAGACTCAAAGTTCACTCATCAGCTTCTCTGGAGCTTTCAACCACATCACATCATCTTCATCAGACAGCTGTGGATTTGATTATGACATTAGTATTAAAATATAAGCTCTGGAGAAGGAGAGTGAACATTGAGTTAGGAGGGAAAAGTGTTCAGATTATTTTTGGTTTGTTTCTGGCTCAGACTGGGTGTGTGTTCACACCTGTCCTGTTCAGTTCGTTTGTGCAGGTGTGAACACACCAAAACAACCGGACCGAGACCTTCTTGAAGAGGTGGTCTCAGTCTGGTTCCAAAGGAACTCTGGTGCGGTTGGTTTGTGGTGAGAAGGTGTTCCGACCTGGATGTGAAGCAAATGCAGTCACATGACACATTGTTTGGGTTAAACATGAGCATGTTACAGTCCTGGAGGATTATTAATGTGCACCTCCTCCTGTACTGCCTTAATATGCACATTCAGCACATCCAATGCATCAAAACATTGTTTTCTAGTTGGAGCCGCGCCTCGTTTTCAAACTGTATGGTTTGACTAAAATGAACAATGACAGCAATATAGTCCACGATGAGCAGCGCTAAAATCAACCTGCGTAGTTGTCCCTCCATTGTGACATTAGAAAGTGTCACATTTATCTTGCAAGTGTACTCTTCTTCAACGTTTGCTTTACTTCCTGGATTTTTCCCACATGGAAATTCTGACCAATCAAGAGCAGCTTTCTCACACAAGGCATTTGATCTGGTCCTCTTGTAAATGCTGCCGTGAGAACACGAACCAACTCTAGGCAATTATACAACTTTGGAACAACATGAGTCCCTGATTCAGACCAGAGGAGACCACTCTAGGGCTGACAGCAGCCTGAAGGATTGTTGGTGCACTTTTACAAAAAAATTCTTTAAAACAAAAACACTGACAGAACTAAAAATATTCTCATGGTCAAATTAATAAACTCAGTTCTGTTTGGTTTTGGCTCATTGATTTAGACTAAATTATTTTTCTTTACAGTCTTAAACTTTGACAGAAAGTCGTCTAATCAGGATCATTCAGCTGGAACTTTTTAGGTTGAAATTTTGAAATGTTTTTACGATACATGATGATGCGTTTTATTTATCAGTCTTCCAACTAATCATCTTCATATTTACTCATTCAAAGACATATTTCCTACATCAGGATATTCACTGGAGTTCACCAATGAGATTTGCTGGTGTCTTAAACATGGACTGTTGTAAAGCCCTCTGAGGCAAATTGTGATTTAAGTAAAACTGAATATAAACCAGGCAGTGAATGTTACTTAACACGACACAAACAGTAGAAACAACTTGGAGCACAAACCTTTAACACTCTTTTAATCAAGTTTTAACTTCACAGTTGAGATTCTTCACGTAACTTTTCATGTCTGCAGATAATCTAAAAACACATTTATTTTCAGTAGAATGACTCCTTTCATGTTCTGGAATAAAAACCTCACAGTCTGACTCTGACTCTGAGAACCTGAACACATCATGATTCAGTTCAGTGCTCAGAGAGACAAACCTTGAGAGTCTGGGACTGAACAGCTGCTGTCTGTTATCAGAGGAGAAAATAAAACCTGGTGCGACAGTCTGAGATGAAACAGTTTGAAGCCGGTTGGAGGACTTTGAGATCACAGAGGTATACGACAGGTGTGAGGACCTGATCCCCAACAGTTTCCCACTCAGCTCTCTGACAGCAGGTCGTACGATCCACTGTTCACCACTTCATGTTTGTCCTCCGCCTGCAAACACACAAGGAAATGTCCTCACTGCTTAATTCTGTCATCTTGTTTAATGCTGCGTTTTAAAAAAACAAACAGTTCAGACCAAAGAGTTCAGACCAAGTTTTAGAACGTTGCAGAGAAAAGTGTCAGCGGTCTGAACTGGCTTCACTGTAGCCAGTATCTCACTATCACTATCCTCATTCAGATTTTAAGAAGCTACAAATTATATTCAGCCATAAAATAAGTCTGAAAAGCTGCAAATCAGAACGGAAGTACAGAGAGTTGTTGACTAGAGATGATACGCCGTCTCATGGCGGTCACTTCCTGTCAACGTTACAGATCAGAAGCAGAGAGTTGTTGACTAGAGATGATGCGCCGTCTCATGGCGGTCACTTCCTGTCAACGTTACAGATCAGAAGCAGAGAGTTGTTGACTAGAGATGATGCGCCGTCTCATGGTGGTCACTTCCTGTCAACGTTACAGATCAGAAGCACAGAGAGTCGTTGACTAGAGATGATACGCCGTCTCATGGCGGTCACTTCCTGTCGACGTTACAGATCAGAAGCACAGAGAGTCGTTGACTAGAGATGATACGCCGTCTCATGGCGGTCACTTCCTGTCGACGTTACAGATCAGAAGCACAGAGAGTCGTTGACTAGAGATGATACGCCGTCTCATGGCGGTCACTTCCTGTCGACGTTACAGATCAGAAGCACAGAGAGTCGTTGACTAGAGATGATACGCCGTCTCATGGCGGTCACTTCCTGTCGACGTTACAGATCAGAAGCACAGAGAGTCGTTGACTAGAGATGATACGCCGTCTCATGGCGGTCACTTCCTGTCGACGTTACAGATCAGAAGCACAGAGAGTCGTTGACTAGAGATGATACGCCGTCTCATGGCGGTCACTTCCTGTCGACGTTACAGATCAGAAGCACAGAGAGTCGTTGACTAGAGATGATACGCCGTCTCATGGCGGTCACTTCCTGTCGACGTTACAGATCAGAAGCACAGAGAGTCGTTGACTAGAGATGATACGCCGTCTCATGGCGGTCACTTCCTGTCGACGTTACAGATCAGAAGCACAGAGAGTCGTTGACTAGAGATGATACGCCGTCTCATGGCGGTCACTTCCTGTCGACGTTACAGATCAGAAGCACAGAGAGTCGTTGACTAGAGATGATACGCCGTCTCATGGCGGTCACTTCCTGTCGACGTTACAGATCAGAAGCACAGAGAGTCGTTGACTAGAGATGATACGCCGTCTCATGGCGGTCACTTCCTGTCGACGTTACAGATCAGAAGCACAGAGAGTCGTTGACTAGAGATGATACGCCGTCTCATGGCGGTCACTTCCTGTCGACGTTACAGATCAGAAGCACAGAGAGTCGTTGACTAGAGATGATACGCCGTCTCATGGCGGTCACTTCCTGTCGACGTTACAGATCAGAAGCACAGAGAGTCGTTGACTAGAGATGATACGCCGTCTCATGGCGGTCACTTCCTGTCGACGTTACAGATCAGAAGCACAGAGAGTCGTTGACTAGAGATGATACGCCGTCTCATGGCGGTCACTTCCTGTCGACGTTACAGATCAGAAGCACAGAGAGTCGTTGACTAGAGATGATACGCCGTCTCATGGCGGTCACTTCCTGTCGACGTTACAGATCAGAAGCACAGAGAGTCGTTGACTAGAGATGATACGCCGTCTCATGGCGGTCACTTCCTGTCGACGTTACAGATCAGAAGCACAGAGAGTCGTTGACTAGAGATGATACGCCGTCTCATGGCGGTCACTTCCTGTCGACGTTACAGATCAGAAGCACAGAGAGTCGTTGACTAGAGATGATACGCCGTCTCATGGCGGTCACTTCCTGTCGACGTTACAGATCAGAAGCACAGAGAGTCGTTGACTAGAGATGATACGCCGTCTCATGGCGGTCACTTCCTGTCGACGTTACAGATCAGAAGCACAGAGAGTCGTTGACTAGAGATGATACGCCGTCTCATGGCGGTCACTTCCTGTCGACGTTACAGATCAGAAGCACAGAGAGTCGTTGACTAGAGATGATACGCCGTCTCATGGCGGTCACTTCCTGTCGACGTTACAGATCAGAAGCACAGAGAGTCGTTGACTAGAGATGATACGCCGTCTCATGGCGGTCACTTCCTGTCGACGTTACAGATCAGAAGCACAGAGAGTCGTTGACTAGAGATGATACGCCGTCTCATGGCGGTCACTTCCTGTCGACGTTACAGATCAGAAGCACAGAGAGTCGTTGACTAGAGATGATACGCCGTCTCATGGCGGTCACTTCCTGTCGACGTTACAGATCAGAAGCACAGAGAGTCGTTGACTAGAGATGATACGCCGTCTCATGGCGGTCACTTCCTGTCGACGTTACAGATCAGAAGCACAGAGAGTCGTTGACTAGAGATGATACGCCGTCTCATGGCGGTCACTTCCTGTCGACGTTACAGATCAGAAGCACAGAGAGTCGTTGACTAGAGATGATACGCCGTCTCATGGCGGTCACTTCCTGTCGACGTTACAGATCAGAAGCACAGAGAGTCGTTGACTAGAGATGATACGCCGTCTCATGGCGGTCACTTCCTGTCGACGTTACAGATCAGAAGCACAGAGAGTCGTTGACTAGAGATGATACGCCGTCTCATGGCGGTCACTTCCTGTCGACGTTACAGATCAGAAGCACAGAGAGTCGTTGACTAGAGATGATACGCCGTCTCATGGCGGTCACTTCCTGTCGACGTTACAGATCAGAAGCACAGAGAGTCGTTGACTAGAGATGATACGCCGTCTCATGGCGGTCACTTCCTGTCGACGTTACAGATCAGAAGCACAGAGAGTCGTTGACTAGAGATGATACGCCGTCTCATGGCGGTCACTTCCTGTCGACGTTACAGATCAGAAGCACAGAGAGTCGTTGACTAGAGATGATACGCCGTCTCATGGCGGTCACTTCCTGTCGACGTTACAGATCAGAAGCACAGAGAGTCGTTGACTAGAGATGATACGCCGTCTCATGGCGGTCACTTCCTGTCGACGTTACAGATCAGAAGCACAGAGAGTCGTTGACTAGAGATGATACGCCGTCTCATGGCGGTCACTTCCTGTCGACGTTACAGATCAGAAGCACAGAGAGTCGTTGACTAGAGATGATACGCCGTCTCATGGCGGTCACTTCCTGTCGACGTTACAGATCAGAAGCACAGAGAGTCGTTGACTAGAGATGATACGCCGTCTCATGGCGGTCACTTCCTGTCGACGTTACAGATCAGAAGCACAGAGAGTCGTTGACTAGAGATGATACGCCGTCTCATGGCGGTCACTTCCTGTCGACGTTACAGATCAGAAGCACAGAGAGTCGTTGACTAGAGATGATACGCCGTCTCATGGCGGTCACTTCCTGTCGACGTTACAGATCAGAAGCACAGAGAGTCGTTGACTAGAGATGATACGCCGTCTCATGGCGGTCACTTCCTGTCGACGTTACAGATCAGAAGCACAGAGAGTCGTTGACTAGAGATGATACGCCGTCTCATGGCGGTCACTTCCTGTCGACGTTACAGATCAGAAGCACAGAGAGTCGTTGACTAGAGATGATACGCCGTCTCATGGCGGTCACTTCCTGTCGACGTTACAGATCAGAAGCACAGAGAGTCGTTGACTAGAGATGATACGCCGTCTCATGGCGGTCACTTCCTGTCGACGTTACAGATCAGAAGCACAGAGAGTCGTTGACTAGAGATGATACGCCGTCTCATGGCGGTCACTTCCTGTCGACGTTACAGATCAGAAGCACAGAGAGTCGTTGACTAGAGATGATACGCCGTCTCATGGCGGTCACTTCCTGTCGACGTTACAGATCAGAAGCACAGAGAGTCGTTGACTAGAGATGATACGCCGTCTCATGGCGGTCACTTCCTGTCGACGTTACAGATCAGAAGCACAGAGAGTCGTTGACTAGAGATGATACGCCGTCTCATGGCGGTCACTTCCTGTCGACGTTACAGATCAGAAGCACAGAGAGTCGTTGACTAGAGATGATACGCCGTCTCATGGCGGTCACTTCCTGTCGACGTTACAGATCAGAAGCACAGAGAGTCGTTGACTAGAGATGATACGCCGTCTCATGGCGGTCACTTCCTGTCGACGTTACAGATCAGAAGCACAGAGAGTCGTTGACTAGAGATGATACGCCGTCTCGTGGCGGTCACTTCCTGTCGACGTTACAGATCAGAAGCACAGAGAGCTGTTGACTAGAGATGATACACCGTCTCATGGCGGTCACTTCCTGTCAACCGGCAGGAACTTTTTTACATTGAAGGAACTGGAAGCTATGAACCAACATTTTGATCTGACTCATGGACGGATGACTGATGTGTTTACTGAGGGTCAGTGGTCATGACTCACTGTGACATCAGACGTGTTGGACCCAACAGGTTCTGGAGTCGCTTCATAAACCGGGTTAGTGATGCTGTGGCTGTTGTCTGCAGGCGGAGCTTCTTCCTCCTCTTCATCCTCCTGTCAGAGACACCAGGAAAAACATCTTAGGCAAGGCAAGGCAATTTTATTTATATAGCACCATTCATACACAAGGCAATTCAATGTGCTTTACAAGAGAAATACATTAAAAACAATAGATCATTAAAAGCAAAAGCTAAAAGCAAGACAATAAATAGTTAAAAACAGTGCAGAAAATGCATTTAAAAAGCAAACATAAAGCAACAGCAGACAAATATAAAAACAATAGCTACAGATTATCCTAACAATAAGTTACATATCTAGTTCACTGGTAAGCTGCAGTAAATAGTAATGTTTTAAGCCCTGATTTAAATGAGTTGACAGTTTCAGCCGACCTCAGATATTCTGGAAATTTGTTCCACAGGCGGGGAGCATAGAAACTAAAGGCTGCTTCACCTTGTTTGGTTTTGATCCTGGGAACACTGAGTAAACCTGTTCCAGATGATCTGAGGGGTCTGGATGCTTCATAACGTACAAGTATATCAGAGATGTGTTTAGGCCCGAGACCATTTAGTGCTTTATAGACAAGTAACAAGATTTTAAAGTCTATCCTTTGACACACAGGAAGCCAGTGCAGTGATTTAAGCACTGGTGCAATGTGCTCCACTCTCTTGGTGTTGGTGAGGACTCTGGCAGCAGCGTTCTGGACGAGCTGCAATTGTCTGATTGATTTTTTACTCAGGCCTGTGAAGACACCGTTACAATAGTCCAGCCTGCTGAAAATGAAAGCATGAACAAGTTTTTCTGTATCTTGTTTAGACTTGTTTACACTAATGTTATCAAATGATCAAAGATTTATCATAATAAATATTAAACTAACGGAACAATGTTTACAATAATATTATTAAAAGAATCATTAATGTGTTCATACTACACTGACGGTGATCAGTGTTAACACTAATGTTCTCCTGACACCATCAGACATGTGTCACTGACAGATGATGTAAGCGCAGCGTCAGGTCGACAGACAAACTGAACTCTGACCTTGAAGTAGTGGAACTGAAATGGTTTGGTGCTGTGGGTGTAGAAATGGTATCCTACAAAGATGACTGCTGCCACCACAACAATCAGCAGCACCACTCCAACCCCCAGCCCCGCCTTGTGAGCCACGTGCATCTGCAGAGCCAATCAGAGACCAGCGTCAGTCGTCATATACGGAAAACACAATAACAAACCAGGACACTTTTACCTGTTAAACTCAGGTTATCTATCAGATTAATAAACACCGTTACTATTATTAGTAAATATGGTTTTGTTGTGACATCACTTGCCTCTTGGCGAGGGGGCGGGGCTTTCAGTGGTCCCTGGAGAACATGAATGATGCCGTTTGAAGCCAGGATGTCGGAGTTGGTGACGAAGCGGCCGCTGATATAACAGGACGACTGAGGAGATTAAAAATAAAAAACATTTAAGTGGAGACTCTTTAAAGTATCTGTTGTGTCTGACACCTGAACCTGAACCATCGACACCAGCTCCTGTTTTTACACAATCTTTGTTACATTAAGAACTCACTGAAGGAAATCATGTTTGATTTGATCGACAGGAGTCTCGGCCAATCACAGTCAGCTGTTGTGGTTTCTGTTTGCTTGTTACTGCCTCTGACACACATGAGGGTGGCTGATGATCATGATGTGCAGCTGTTTGCTGACACCCAGCTACATTTAGGTTATCAGAAGTTGGCCATTTTAAACCAGTGTCACTTTGCTAATTGCGTCCTGTACTCTGACCTGTGCTACAACATGCAGAGGTTAAACTGAATCTCTTGACAGTGACTGAATGTGAGTGATGTGACTGAACTAAAGTCAGAACTCTGGGACGACATCAAGGATAAATGTCAAACATGTAAATGATATGTGACAACACAGTGAAGTGTCTGTGGTGAGTATCCTGACAGTTGATTGATCAGATATTTATAACCACTAATTGAGATGATAGATTCATGGGACAGGATGGTGTCGCCCTCTAGTGATCAGTCACAGTAATAAATCTGACCAGAGCCGACGGGTTGAGCAGGTCAGCGACTCCGAGGACAGTCAGACTGCCGACACGAGTCCTGATGCGACTGCCGTTCTTCAGCTGGCTGAGAGGAAGCGCCTGACCCTCCGACAGGTGGAACTCAACGTCCCTCAGAGACAGAGTCTGCAAGGACACAGGGACGGACAGGTGAGGACACATGAACAGGCAGAGATACAGCACCTGCTGACAGACCTCTGTGAATGACTCACCTGGTTTTCAGGCAGTCCGGTGTTGTCGGGGACGAACAGTGTTGACTGGACCGTCAGGTTACTGAGACGCTTCAGAAAGTGTTTCCCTGAATCAGACACCTGGGAGCAGTTCAGGATTTGCTGCAGGAGGAAATAAAGTTTAATAAGTGGCCACCAGTGGTGTGTTATTATAACGGGCCCTGGTGCTGATGCGATCGTGCACATATCGTCTTGTCACATGATCAGAGACTTGACACTGGTTAACATCAACGTACATATTACTCAACAATCATCATTAAATATCTGCATATAAAAAATACCAAAGGAAATAAATTATTCATTTAATTTAATAGTTGATTTTTAGTTACAGAATAAACACATGATTTGGTCATGTGGACCTCCAGTCTCTATCTGACCCAACGCCTCCTCAGACTTCATGACCAAACTGACAAAGATTAAAACTAAAAACACTTCCTGTATATTCTGGTCGGTTGTATCATCATGTGATTCATCTTAAAACAGTCACATGTTAAATTGTGGCTCACTGTGAGGAAGTTGGAGAAGGTCGGTGTGGATCTGAGGACCTGCAGCAGGTTTCCTGTACAGCTGAAACCGTCTCCAACGTAACCGGGTTTACACTCACACTTCACCTCTGAAACAAACAAACAAACAAACAACAGACTGACTGCTATCTGCTGACTTCTAGCCAGAACTTAACATAATATTATTACTTTCATTAATGTTGTTGTAAGCTACTGTTATTACCTGTCTCTCTCTCTCTCTCTCTCTCTGTCTCTCTCTCTCTCTCTCTCTCTGTCTCTCTCTCTCTCTCTCTCATTGTGTCATACGGATTACTGTTAATTTATTATGCTGATCTGTTCTGTACGACATCTATTGCACGTCTGTCCGTCCTGGAAGAGGGATCCCTCCTCAGTTGCTCTTCCTGAGGTTTCTACTGTTTTTTCCCCGTTAAAGGGTTTTTTTTGGGGAGTTTTTCCTGATCAGCTGTGAGGGTCATAAGGACAGAGGGATGTCGTATGCTGTAAAGCCCTGTGAGGCAAATTGGGATTTGTGATATTGGGCTTTATAAATAAAATTGATTGATTGATTGATTGATTGACTTTGACAATCGATACATCACAGTCACACCAGTTTGAGTTCTGAAGCCGTCTGATGTCCCTCTCAGGATATTATTACATTATTATTATTACATCACTACTGAACACTGCGCTCTTCACTGTGGCCCCTCCTCTTCCTGTCTCACCTTTCATCCGGTAGCAGAAGGCATCCCATTTCTCGCTCGTCTTGCGGACGCCGTAGTCCACGATGCCGATGTGTCCAAAGCCACAGTTGGGGTTGGAGTACGTGGTGGGGTACGCCACCCGGGCCTGGTCCAACCAGCCGGCGGAGCACATGTTCAGCCCGCCCTGAGGAAGGCGAGGAAAGGTAAATGTGTTTCTACAGGTGTTGAGCAGGAGCAGGTGTTGTGTCTGTGGTGTGTTCACTGACCTGCTGAGCGTAGGACAGCTGATTATACGTAGCCAGGCTGGCGCCCTCTGTGTCACAGGCCTGTTGAGCTGCACTGAAGTTCATCTTGTACTGACCTTTATCTGAACGAACATGAAACACGCCCAGCTTCGCGTCTACACACAAACACAGCAGCAGAACACACACACTCATTTTATAGTTACACACACACACACACACACACACACACACACACACGGGGATGTCCACATGAGACTTAAACCCCTCCTTCTGAGCACCTGTCATGATGTTTTATACCTTCAAAGTGGAGGTCGGTACATTTGGCGTCTTGATGACATCGTCCGTTGTCCTGGAGACAGCGGCTGATTGGCAGCTGTTTGACCTCACAGGTGAGTCCGTCTCCGATGTAGTTGTCCTTACAGGTGCACTTCTTCTTCCCCTGCTCACACAGATACGTTACATTACTACAACACACTCACGGTCCCAACATGTCAAACACACGCCGTGTTGTCCTCACCGGAGCCGTCATGGTGCAGGTGGCGTGTTCGTGGCAGCTGCCGTTGACCCCGGAGACACACGGGTCGATGGGCTGACAGGTGAAGCCATCTCCGGAATAACCTTTAGGACAGGTGCAGGTCACCTTCTCTCCCGTCTGAGAACATTTGGCTCCTTTAGCACAACCACCATTCCAGGTGGAACACACGTCCATCACTACGGACAGACAGATGGACAGACAGGAAGACACACAGACAGACATCGAGATGCTACGTAAGAAACAAACGTATTCACGGTTTGCAGAAACGTACGGTGAAAACATTTTCCTCTGGACACTGGACTGACTGTATAGTTTGTGTATCTACCTGTACAGGTGAGTCCGTCTCCTTCGTAGAATCGCTGACAAACACAAGTGTTGTTCTCCTGACAGACGGCTTTTGGAGAACAGGGTGGAGAACACTCGAAGACTTCACCTGGAGGGGACAAAGACACGACCTGTAGAGATGACGCACACAGCTCCTCACACACCGACACGGCGTCCTGATGAACTCACCCTGTGGCATCTCACAGCGCTCTCCGGTCCAGCCCGCCTCACAGAAACACGAACCTGTACCTTTACGTCCGTCGTCACATGACCCGTGTTCTGAACAGTTACAGGCTGAGAACCAGAGGGAAACAATCTGTTAGGACACCTGCAGACATTAAACAGGAAGTGGTCTGACCGCTGCTCACCTTTACAGGATGCTCCATAGAATCCGAAACCGCACAGCTCACAGGCCACACCCCCGAAACCTGCATCACAGGTGCATGTACCGTTGCCAAGGTGACCGTCGTCACATTTCCCGTGGTTACTGCAGGGCGAGCCGACTCCACCGGGACAGACTGAGAAGGCAGACAGAGACAAACACAACATGGCATCTGATTAACATATTCATGATGTCATAATAGTCATGTGACACCAAATGAACATCATGCGACAGTTATGACAAAATACAAATCAGGGCTGTCGAAGCGCCAGGTTCACTTTATCGAGTCATATCAAGTCTGATCGGATCCTTTGTTTCACATCAGCTGTTTTTTTTTCCGACACAATGAGTGCAGCCATCATCAACTCTCCTCTCCGCGCTACACCCTGCCCACCGCCAAACACCATCCACCATAAACAACAGTCAAACACACTATGAGACAGTTTAGCTTCTGGGGGTTGGTACTGGGGGTTCTGGTGTTGATATCTGGACCAAGACTTCCTATAGTGCAACTAACATGGAGTTTTCACTGGGGTCCAGCAGCGCCCACACTTCCTCCGCAGGCAGAGGGCCTTTGGAGTCAGCCAGAAAGTGTTGCTCCTCTTCTACTGTGCCTTAGTTGAGAGCGTCCTGCAGTATGGCATCTCAGCCTGGTTTGGTAACCTCGCCTACAGTCTGTAAACCTACACATGCACATAGCTGTTTATAGAGACTGGACTTACTGTATCTCAGAACTTTGAATTAAGTAAAAAGATACTGAGCTGTTTTTATTAACGTCTCATCTGTTTCAGTTTGTTCAGTCAGAAACTGTTCTCTGGATCATGGATCCTTTCTTTGGTTGGCAGTGTTTCTATCAATTGGTCTAAATGTCGGCATCATCTCACCCAGACAGTCTCGTCCGTGGTAACCAGGACAACACTTCGGCTGCCAGAAGTTGACAGTGCAGACGCTGCGACAGCCGGTGTTCTTAGTGACGAACACGGAGGGAAGGTCGCACTTCTGAACCTCCTGCAGACACAACAGAGAGGAGTCAGACACACTGATGGATGAGGTTTACTCTGTACCTGTGTCACCTGATGAGGACTCTCACCTTCTGTTTGGACCCTTTGGGACAGCGAGTGGTCGAGGTGGTGCACAGTCCGCAGCTCATCTACCACAGAAGAAGAAACCACACAGAAATGAGATCAATAAAACCTCCACTCATATCATCAAAGAGTTCCCAAGCATTTAAAGTCCTCTGTGCAGCAGCGCCCCCTGGTGGCCTCACTGACAAAAACGATGTTGGACTCCGTAGTTTTCTCTGGACCCCTCCCAAATCTGACCACTGATGACATGTTTAGCCGCATGTCATCACTTAATCGCTGGCTGTCCAGGTGGTGTCCAGCAAATATGTGGGTTTCGTTAATAATTGGCAAACTTTCTGGGGAAAACCTGGTCTTATTAGGAGAGACGGCATTCATCCCACTTTGGATGGAGCTGCTCTCATTTCTAGAAACCTGGCAGACGTTATTAGTAATTTAAATCCCTGACAACCCAGAGTTGAGACCAGGACTCAGAGTCGCAGTCCTATACGCCTCTCTGAGCTTCTAGTTCAGTTACCTAGCCATAGTTTTCATAGTTTTATACAAACGGTGTCTGTCCCCCGACCACCTAAATTATTTAAATCTAAAATTAAACAAAGAGGAGTTGTGCATAACAACCTCATAAAAATTAAAACCTCTTCTGTGACAGAAAGACAAAACAGGAGAATTAAATGCGGACTGTTAAATATCAGGTCTCTATCGTCTAAAGCAGTGTTAGTAAACGAATTAATATCAGATAATCATATTGATTTACTCAGTCTCAC